CCTCCCCGGTTCAAAGGATTCTCCTACCTCAGCCCCCCAAGTAGCTGGGATTACAGGTGCGCACACCACCACACCAGGCTTTTTTTTTTTTTTTTTTTTCCCTGAGACGGAGTTTCACTCTTGTTGCCCAGGCTGGAGTGTAATGGTGCAATCTTGGCTCACTGCAACCTCTGCCTCCTGGGTTCAAGCGATTTTCCTGCCTCAGCCTCCCAAGTAGCTGGGATTACAGGCACGTGCCACCACATCCAGCTAATTTTTGTATTTTTAGTAGAGGCGGGGTTTCCCTATGTTGGCCAGACCGGTTTCGAATTTCTGACCTCAGGTGATCCACGTGCCTCAGCTTCCCAAAGTACTGGGATTATAGGTGTGAGCCACCAGGCCCCAGCCTTACACTGGTAAATTTTATGGTATATAATCTCAATAAAATGGAAGTGGCATACGGCTTCCTTGGGAAGAAATTTCTCCCGTGTCTGTCTGACAAACTGGGAGGAAGCAGGGCCAGTGAGTCCTTGGCTAGACTAAGTTCTCAGAATCTAGTGGCCTTGGGCTGCTTCCAGCTAAAGTTGGGCTGACCTGGCTGAGCTGCAGAGTGTGCAGGAAGTCCCAGAGCCCTGTGGTAGCAGATGGGGAAAAGGATGGCTGCATCCATTTGGTCCTGTCTTTTTTTTTTTTTTTTTTTGAGATGGAGTTTTGCTCTTGTTGCCCAGGCTGGAGTACAGTGGCACGATCTCGGCTCACTGCAACCTCCGCCTCTTGGGTTCAAACAGTTTTCCTTCTTCAGCCTTCCAAGTTGCTGGGATTACAGGCGCCCACTACTACGCCCAGCTAATTTTTTGTATTTTTAGTAGAGACGGGTTTTGCCATGTTGGCCAGGCTGGTCTTGAACTCCTGACCTCAGGTGATCCATCCGCCTCAGCCTCCCAAAGTGCTGGGATTACAGGTGTGAGCCACCGTGCCTGGCCATTTGCTCCTGCTTTTAAGGGATGTGCCCTATACCCTGATCCCCTTCTTGTGGAACCCCAGGACCCTAGATATCTGTCTATTGAGTCTGTGCCCCTGTCCAGGAAATGCCCCTCATCTTGAGGTCCTAGAACTGTGGGAGGGTGGCCTGGGCATCCTTGGCCTGGTGAGTCCCAGCCTTTGTAGAGAGAGAGAACAAGTCTATCACTGCCTTCACTGGATGGGACTGCACTTCTTTCTGCCCCAGGAACCTTGGGTGGAAGGGGCATTGGAGCTCAAATCCAGCTGGCAGCCTCAGAGTTCAGATCCAAGTGGCCTGCCTCCTCCACTCCTCAGCCTACCCAAGCCATGTCCTAGGTGTGGGTTGCTCCCTGGTGGCCAGATAGGGAAGGACTCATTCCTCCTTTGGCAAGGTGGGCTGGGATCTGAGCTGGGCTGTGTAATAGGCAGGCAACTGCATTGGAAGGGCAGAGATGAAGGAATCCTAGGGTATTCTGGAGTGATGAGCAGAGGAGTAAGCTAGCCAGGAGCAAAAGATGAGTTGGAGAGCCTGCAGAGAGCCCAGCCAGCTTGCTTCACACACACTACAGGAAAAGTAATGAGTTGTGTCACATGGTAAAGGATCAGGCCGGGTGTGGTGGCTCACGCCTGTAATCCCAGTACTTTGGGAGGCTGAGGCAGGTGAACCATGAGGTCAGGAGTTTTGAGACCAGCCTGGCCAACATAGTGAAACCCCGTCTCTACTAAAAATACAAAAAACTAGCCGGGTGACAGAGAGAGACTCCATCTCAAAACAAAAAAAGTATTTCACTCAGTGTCCCTGAATCTTCCCCTCTCTCCCACAACCACCGTTTACAGAGCCTTAAAACAAAGAAACAAATACGATAATGTGTTCTTGTGCTCTGTTGCCTGGCCTGGAGTGCTGTGGTGCCATCTGGGCTCACTGCAGCCTTGACCTCCGAGGCTCAAGCGATCCTTCCTGCTGAACCTCCCGAGTAGCTGAGACCACAGGCACATGCCACCATGCCGGGCTAATCTTTGTATTATTTGTAGAGAAGGGGTTTTGCCATGTTCCCAGGCTGGTCTTGGACTCCTAGACTCAAGTGATCTGCCTGCCTCAACTTCTTATGATCAGGGACCACCACAATGGGCTAGTTTTTTTTTTTTTTTTTTTTTTTTTTTTTTTTTTTTGAGTCAGGGTCTCACTCTGTTGCCTGGCCTGGAGTGGGGTGGTGTGATCACGCCTCACTGCAGCCTCAAACCCCTGGGCTCAAGCCATCCTCCCGCCTCAGCCTCCTGAATAATTAACTGGGACCGCAAACACAGGCCATTGCATCCAAATAACTTTTGCAGAGACAGGGTTTTTGCATGGTCTTGAACGCCTGGACTCACGCGCTCCACCTGCCTCCGCCTCCCAGTGCTGTGATTACAGGTGTGAGCCATCACACCTAACACACCTAGTGCAGTCCTTCTAAAGACTCTCCCAGCGCCCAGGCAGCCTTACTCAAGCTCTCCCTGATCAGATAGGCAACCCGATAAGTTGCATTGTCTGGGGAAGGGCAGCAAGAACCCTGCTCTGGGAGTTAAGAGTTCCCGGACCTAGCACAGAGCTGCTCTCCTTACTAACTAGTTACTGATCTTGCCCAAGTCACTTCCTTCCTCTGGCTCTGTTTCCCAATCTGTAAAATTGTTACTGGAAAGGGGTCCTAGTCCAGACCCAAAGAAAGGTGAGGAGAGCAAAAATCACACCCTCCCCAGACAAAAAGTTCTTATCTGAGCAATTTAGATAAGGAGCAATCTAAGGAGCAATGACCACACCTGTTGACCATCAGGCCATTGGGAGGCAAAACTCCTTGTCTGGGGAATTTAGAAATAATCAAGGCCTGTCGTGGTGGCTCACACCTGTAATCCCAGCACTTTGGGAGGCCAAGGCGGGTGGATCACTTGAGGTCAAAAGTTCGAGACCAGCCTGGCCAACAGGATGAAAGCCCGTCCCTACAAAAATTAGCCAGGTGTGATGGTGCATGCCTGTAATCCCAGCTATTCAAGAGGCTGAGACAGAAGAATTGCTTGAACCCGGAAGCAGAGGTTGCAGTGAGCTGAGATCAGGCCACTGCACTCCAGCCTGGGTGACAGAGGGAGACTCTCAAAAGAAAAAAAATCAAACTTCCCTAGTATTTAAAGTCAGCATCTAATTCCAGGCCTCTTTTGACATTTATAAGTAACTAAAATTTCTATACTTTTTTTAAAAAAAAAAAAATAAAAGAAACACTTATTTCTCACAGTTCTGGAGGCTGGAAAGTCCAAGATCAAGGTGCTTATAGAGTCAGTGTCTGGTGAGGGCTCACTTCCTGCTTAATAAGCTGTGCCTTCTCACTGTGGTTTCACAAGGTAGAAGTGGGTAGGGGCTTCTCTTTGGTCTCCCTTATAAAGATACCAATCCCATTCCTGAGGGCTCTGCCCTCACAACGTAAAATTTCTATACATTTATGCCATGCTGAAACTCATTTTACAACCCTAAGCCTCCGCCTTAATGTCCATACATGCTCTTTTTTTTTTTTGAGACTGAGTTTTGCTCTTGTTATCCAGGCTGGAGTGCAATGGCTCATTGCAACCTCTGTCTCCTGGGTCCAAGCAATTCTCCTGCCTCAGCTTCCTGAGTGGCTGGGATTACAGGGGCACCCCACCAGGCCCAGCTAAGTTTTATATTTTTAGTAGAGACAGGGTTTCACCATGTTAGCCAGGCTGGTCTCGAACTCCTGACATCAGGTGAGGTGATGCACACACCTCATCCCAAAGTGCTGGTATTACAGGCGTGAGCCACCACACCCAACCTGTTGGTAAATTCTTTTTACCAGCCCTTGAGTCGACCACTTCTCAGTGCCAGAGCTCTGACATGTCACCCAGCAAGAGTGTTGTTGGATCTCAAGCAAGAAAGAATTCGGGGCGAGTCCATAAAGTGAAAGCAAGTTTATTAGAGAAGTAAAGAAACAAAAGAATGGTAACTCCATAAGCAGAGCAGCGGTAAGAACTGCTGGTTGGCTATTTTTATGGTTATTCCTTGAGTATATGATAAACAAGGGGTGGGTCATCCATGAGTTTTCCAGAAAAGGGGCAGGGATTCTCCCCCTCCAACTGAGGGTCCCTCCACTTTTGGACCATATAGGGCAACTTCTGGACATTGCCATGGCATTTGTAAGCTGCCTGGCGCTGCTGGGAGTGTCCTTAGCATGTTTAATGCATCATAATTAGCGTATAATGAGCAGTGAGTGAGGACGACCAGAGGTCACCTTCCTGACTCTCTTGGGTTTAGCAGGTTTTGACTGGTTTCCTTGCTGCATTTTGTTTTGTTTTGTTTTGTTTTTTAAGACTGAGTTGTGCTCTTGTTGCCCAGGCTGACGTGCAATGGTGCAATCTCGGCTCACCGCAACCTCCGCCTCTGGGGTTCAAGTGATTCTCCAGCCTCAGCGTCCTGAGTAGCTGGGACTACAGGCATGTACCACCATGCCTAGCTAATTTTGTATTTTTAGCTTAGATGGGGTTTCACCATGTTGGTCAGGCTGGTCTTGAACTCCTGACCTCAGGTAATCTGCCTGCCTTGGCCTTCCAAAGTGTTGGCATTACGGGCGTGAGCCCCCGCACCTGGCTGCTGCATTCTGTCAGCAGGGTCTTGTGACCTTGTACCTTGTGCTGACCTCCTGTCTCATCCTGTGACAAAGAAGGCCTGGCCAGGCGTGGTGGCTCACGCCTATAATCCCAGCACTTTGGGAGGCCGAGGCGGGTGGATCATGAGGTCAGGAGATCGAGACCATCCTGGTCAACAAGGTGAAACCCCGTCCCTACTAAAAATACAAAAATTAGCTGGGCATGGTGGCGCGCGCCTGTAGTACCAGCTACTAGGGAGGCTGAGGCAGGATAATTGCTTGAACCCAGGAGGCGGAGGTTGCGGTGAGCCGAGATCGTGCCATTGCACTCCAGCCTGGGTAACATGAGTGAAACTCCGCCTCAAAAAAAAAAAAAAAGAAGGCGGCCTAACCTCCTGGGAATGCAACCCAGCAGGTCTCAGCCTCATTTTACCCAGCCCCTGTTCAAGATGGACTCGCTCTTGTTGGAAACTTCTGACAAAATGACAGCTCCTGTCATGTTGCTGCTGCTGCCAATGGACAGCCCCTAACGTGCCCACCAGCCCTGCTCCACGGCCGGCCTGGGCTCACTTTCCCTCCTCCAACTTCCTAGCCCGTTAGTTCCTCAAATCTACAAGCTCTCTGCCTTCCCAGGGCCTTCATAGATGCATCTTCTCTGTCTGGAAGGCTCTTCTCCCTCTTCTAGCCAAGTCCTATTCATCCTTGAGTTTCAGATTAAAAGTCACTTCCTGGCCGGTCGTGGTGGCTCACGCCTGTAATCCAAGCACTTTGGAGGCCAAGGCGGGTGGATCACCTGGGGTCGGGAGTTCAAGACCACCCTGACCAACATGGTGAAACCCCGTCTTTATAAAATAAATAAATAAATAAAAATAAAAATTAAAGTCACTTCCTTTGGAAGCCTTACCCTTGCACTTCTTGGCAGCATCACAACTATAATGGAGATCCTTTGGTTTCTAGGTCATCCCCTGACAGGGACAGTAGGGACTGTCTATCTCGTTCGTTCATCAGTAGGGCAGTAGCTACGGCAGTACCCGATACAAAATAAACTCCAAAGTGTATTTATTAGACTGTTGGATGGGTGGAAGTTATCTGCCAGTGAAAGCGCGTTTTACCTGAAGGCGTTCTGTGAGGGCCAGCGGGTCCCTTTCGGCTCTGGACGCTTCAGGTTGCCGGGGTCACGCGCTCCCCACCGCGTGCGGTCACTAGACACCCCCAAGGGCGCAGCCTGGGACCCGGAAGCCGAGACTCCCGGCCCCGAGGCCCGGCTTGGCCTTCGGGTCCACGTGGCCGGAGGCCCGCAGCTGATTGGACGGGGGTCGCCCCGCCCCCTGGCAGTCACGAGCCCCCGCCGGGCTGAGGCCATGGAAGCGGTGGCCGTGGCGGTAGGGGTCCTGCTCCTGGCTGGGGCTGGGGGTGCGGCAGGCGACGAGGCCGGGGAGGCGGCCGCCGTGCGGGCGCTCGTGGCCCGGCTGCTGGGGCCCGGCCCCGCGGCAAACTTCTCGGTGTCGGTGGAGCGCGCCCTGGCGGCCGAGCCGGGCTTTGACACCTATAGCCTGAGCGGCGGCGGCGCGGCGCTGGTGCGGGTGCGCGGCTCCACGGGCGTGGCGGCCGCCGCCGGGCTGCACCGCTACCTGCGCGACTTCTGTGGCTGCCACGTGGCCTGGTCCGGCTCTCAGTTGCGCCTGCCGCGGCCACTGCCCGCCGTGCCTGGGGAGTTGACCGAGGCCACGCCTAACAGGTACAGCCCCGCAGCTGCCCCGCGTCAGCCCGAGGCGCCCACTTCCCCCGCCCCGAGCCGCTGCCACCCCAACCGGGAGGCTGAGTGGGGAGCGCTGGCAGGAAGGCCCAGCATCGCCGTCTCAGCAGCTGTGTGACCTTGAGCCAGCCACTCTGCCGCTCAGAGCGGGCCCACCTGCAAAACGGAAAGAAGATGCCTGCCGTGCAGGGTTATTGTGAGGATTTGCACGATGATGGGCGTAGAATTTGTGGTGCACAATTGGTGATGTGTGAATTTTCTTCCCTTCCTCCCCCACCTCTTTGAACCTGCGGACTGAGGAAGGACGTCCCCTCCCCCACCCACAGGCCTGTGTTCCAGCTCCTGCTGCCCTCCCCCTGCCCACCTGTTAGACTGTGGGGGCTGGGACCCCCGTTCCAGGAAAACACCGTCCAGAGGAGGGGCCCTGGCAGTGTGGCATGAAAGTGGAATATGCCACCCAAATACCTGCCAGGCTCGAGGGCCCTGGGGGAGTACAGGGGGTGAGTGCCTCAGAAGCCCAGCCCAGGTACCTGGTCCCAGCTCCACCTGGGGTAGGCCCCAGCCTGAAGCAGAAGGGCCGTTTTTGGAGCCCCTCTCCTCTCCTCCAAGTGGGGGATAGGGGAGTTGTCCCAGGGCCATGGACCCTCCAGAGTGGGATGCGCTCCAGCTCATGACACTGCCCGCAGGTACCGCTATTACCAGAATGTGTGCACGCAAAGCTACTCCTTCGTGTGGTGGGACTGGGCCCGCTGGGAGCGAGAGATAGACTGGATGGCGCTGAATGGGATCAACCTGGCATTGGCCTGGAGCGGCCAGGAGGCCATCTGGCAGCGGGTGCGTGCCCACTGTCCCCACCCTCCTGCCCTGGCAGGAGCCTCCCTAGGTGCCTTCACGTGCCCCTCAGCACGGGCACAGTGTATGTCTCCAGAAGTGCTTACAGCTTGCACCATGGCTCCAGCCTCCTAAAAACTGAGGCTTCCAGTTTGAGGAGTGGGGCTCCTTCCCCTCATCTCCCCTATGTGGCTAATCACCTGGTCCCTTGGATCCAACTCAGGGGCAGCACTAGATCTGCCTCCCTGGAAGCCTCTGTTTTACACCAGCTGCTCCAGGTGCTGCTTAAGCTCTTCACACAGCTGTCCTACCCTTCCATCTGGCACCCTAGCTCCATGAAGCCTTCTAAGGACTTCCTCTTGGGGGAAAGCCCCTTTGTGCCCCATCTCCTCACCCGTGGGACAAAGGTGACCCAGTGAACTCACCTGCTCACAGGTCTCTTTCCCCTGAGCTGTGGGCTCCTTGCTGGCAGGGGTCAGATTTTGTCTCAGTAGCCCTAGCACCCAGCACAGAGACGCAATGAGTGAACGGTTGTTGAATGAATGAATCAATGGGTGCAGATGAATATATTTCTATGTGTGGGGAACCCTTTCCTCCTCAGGTGTACCTGGCTTTGGGCCTGACCCAGGCAGAGATTGATGAGTTCTTTACTGGTCCTGCCTTCCTGGCCTGGGGGCGTATGGGCAATCTGCACACCTGGGATGGCCCCTTGCCCCACGCCTGGCACATCAAGCAGCTTTACCTGCAGGTGAAAGGACGGAAAAGGGAAGGGGTGGAATCGGTAATAGATGGTCCCAGGCCCAGGGAGGGTGGTATCTGGCCGGCCCTGGGGCTCTTCACTGATCCAGGGGGACTCCGTGTGTCCTGGGTGATGAGGGCTTCCCCTTAGGACAGCAGTGGCCATGCTCACCACCCTCCCTTCCATTCCTCCAGCACCGGATCCTGGACCGGATGCGCTGCTTCGGCATGATCCCAGTGCTACCTGCGTTCTCGGGCCATGTTCCCAGGGCTATCACCAGGTGAGGTTCCCCTCAGCCCCTCCACTTAGAGAGGAAATTTTATTCCCCTCTAGAGCATGACTTAAGAACAGGATTTAAAAACTTAAGCTCTGGGCCGGGCATGGTGGCTCATGCCTGTAATCCCAGCACTTTGGGAGGCTGAGATGGGTGGATTACCTGAGGTCAGGAGTTTGAGACCCAGCCTGGCAAACATGGTGAAACCCCGTCTCTACTAAAAATACAAAAGTTAGCCAGGTGTGGTGGCGTGTACCTGTAATCCCAGCTACTCGGGAGGCTGCGGCAAAAGAATTGCTTGAACTGGAGAGGCAGATGTTGCAGTGAGCCGAGAACGTGCCAGTGCACTCCAGCCTGGGCAACAAGAATGAAACTCCAACTCGAAAAAAAAAGAAACAAACAAACTTAAGCTCTGGATGTAAGCTTGGGTTTCATTTCTGGCTCTGCTGCTAACTAGCTGTGTGACTTTGGGCAGATGACATGACTGCTCTGTGCCTCAGTTTCCTTACTTGTAAAATCGGATCTCTCCCTTACTTTGCTGTAGGGTTTATAATTATTTCTTGATCTATCTGTGACTTTGCACAGAGTGCTAGTAAATGGCAGCCCTGCAGGGCGCAGTGGCTCACGCCTGTAATCCCAGCACTTTGGTAGGCGGAGGCGGGTAGATCACAAGGTCAGGAGTTCAAGACCAGCCTGGCCAACATGGTGAAAACCCGTCCCTACTAAAAATACCAAAATCGCTGGATATGGTGGTACATGCCTGTAATCCCAGCTACTTGGGAGGCTGAGGCAGGAGAATTGCTTGAACCCAGGAGGCAAAGATTGCAGTGAGCCAAGATCACACCACTACACTCCAGCCTGGGCAATAGAGGCTCCGTTAAAAAAAAAAAAAAAAAAGGCAGCCCTTACGAGTGGCAGCAGTGGGGGCTCCAGTGTTCCCTGTCCCTCCTGCTCCTCTGTGCTACCCAGCCATTCTCTCTCCTGCGGTTGGGAAAAGTCTTCAGGGCCCACTTGAGACCTCGCCTCTTTCAGGAAGCCTTGCTGGTGTCCCCCATGACCTCCTTTGCACCTACCTGTGTCTGGCTCCCACACTCTCACAGGACGTCATGCCTGCCACTGACCTCCCTGCCTGCCTATTTGCTGCCATCATCAGGTGTCAGAAAACTCACTCATTCATTCGGTGAACTTTCTCCAGCTGTTTGGGGCTGCCAGACCTGGCTCTGTGCTGGGGGGAGGCGGCAAGAAACGTGCCCAAGGCGTTACCCCCAATAGGAGAGAGATGTTGGCTGAGGGGTACAATGCGGTGTCAGAGGCAGGAATATATGTGGGTTCCTGTCTCCTCAGCCAGGAGAGAGGGGCGGGAAGGGCTCAGGGCAGAGCCCAGTCTTGAAAAAGGAGCGTTGCTTGGCTGGGCACGGTGGTTCACACCTCTAATCCTAGCACTTTGGGAGGCTGAGGTGGTGGATCATTTGAGGTCAGGAGTTCGAGACCAGCCTGGCCAACGTGGTGAAACCCTATCTCTACTAAAAATACAAAAATTAGCTGGGCTTGGTGGCAGGTGCCTGTAATCCCAGCTACTTGGGAGGCTGAGGCAGGAGAATCGCTTGAGGCCAGGGGGCAGAGGCTGCAGTGAGCTGAGATCGTGCCACTGACTCCAGCCTGGGTGACAAAGCAAGACTCCTAATTAAAAGAAAATTAAACACTGCATGTTCTCATAAGTGGGAATTGAACAATGAGAAGACATGGACACAGGGAGGGGAACATCACACACCAGGGCCTGTCATGGGGTGGCGGCTGAGGGGAGGGAGAACATTAGAACAAATACCAAATGCATACGGGGCTTAAAAGTTAGATGATGGGTTGATGGGTGCAGCAGATTGCCATGGCACGTGTATACCTATGCAACAAACCTGCACATGTGTCTGAGGACTTAAACTGTAATTTAAAAAAAGAAAGAAAAAGGAGGGAAGGAGGGAGGGAGGGAGAGAGAAAAAAAGAAAGAAGGAAGGAAGGAAAAGAAAAAAAAAGGGGGCCGGGCGCGGTGGCTCAAGCCTGTAATCCCAGCACTTTGGGAGGCCAAGGCGGGTGGATCACGAGGTCAAGAGATCGAGACCATCCTGGTCAGCACGGTGAAACCCCGTCTCTACTAAAAAAAATACAAAAAATTAGCTGGGCATGGTGGCGCGTGCCTGTAATCCCAGCTACTCAGGAGGCTGAGGCAGGAGAATTGCCTGAACCCAGGAGGCGGAGGTTGCGGTGAGCCGAGATCGCGCCATTGCACTCCAGCCTGGGTAACAAGAGTGAAACTCCGTCCCAAAAAAAAAAAAAAAAAAATGGGAAGGAGGGAGGGAAAGAGAGAAAAGGAAAGAAAAGAAAGAAACAAAAGAGGAGTGTTGCATGATTCAGACCACAGGAAGGGGAGAGATAGTGGAAGTTTTCCAGAGAAGGTGGCCGGGGAAGGAGAGGAAAGACTATGCAGAGAGCGCAGCCTGTACAAAGCCATAGAGATGAGAGAAACCGGCTGTGCCCTGGGAGCTGTAGATAAGTTGGTGAGGCCAAGATGAGTACAGAGGCGCTTCCCTGAAATGTCAGCTTTTGCTCCCCACTAGGGTGTTCCCTCGGGTCAATGTCACCCAGATGGGCAGTTGGGGACACTTCAACTGCTCCTACTCCTGCTCCTTTCTTCTGGCTCCAGAAGACCCCATATTCCCCATCCTCGGGAGCCTCTTTCTGCGAGAGCTGACTAAAGAGTTTGGCACAGATCACATCTATGGGGCCGACACTTTCAACGAGATGCAGCCTCCCTCCTCGGAGCCCTCCTACCTTGCCGCAGCCACTGCTGCCGTCTATGAGGCCATGATTGCAGGTACAGTGCCTGGGGCAGGAGGGAGAGTCCCCCAGACCCTCATAAAGAAGAGGGGTAGCAGATGTCAGTGGGGGTGGGCAGGGGGACTGGAATAATGCCTCGCCGTAACACACAGCGCTTTACAGTTTACCAAGCACTGTACATAGGTGTCGTCTCAGTGAATCCCACTGTGGTCGAGAAGTGAGCTCTGGAGGCTGACGACCTGGGTCACACATGGCACTCTCGTTTCCTGGCCGTGTGGCTTATGACTCACGACCTCCCTCCCAGTGTCTCAGTTGCTTCCCCTGTAAAATGGGACTAACTCATAGGTAGGCTAATGCCTGGCCCAGAGTGAAGGCCACTAGGGGCTAGCTAGGAACAAGGGTTTTGTTTAGTCTTCGCCGGTTGCTCAGGTCGGCACTACCGGCAGGAGGTGAGTAGATATGCCTCAAGGCGGTAAGTGCCCATCCTGCTACAAAACCATGAGGTCAGGGCTGCTTCCACCACTTAGAAGGAGGAGCAGAGGGCGACCAAGTCAGGAATGACTTAGTGGGGAGGCCTCTGTGTTGGCCAGGAAGGGAACAGATCAGCTCAGCCTTTCTTGAGCAGCACTGCTCCAGGTGTGACCCAAAACCAGCAGCAGCAGCAGCAGCACCCCAAGCTGTGAGACCGCAAATTCTCAGGCCCTACCCCAGACCTGAAGCAGAAGCTCCGTTTGTTGTTTTTTGTTTTGTTTTGTTTTTGAGACAGAGTCTCGCTCTGTTGCCCAGGCTGGAGCGCAGTGGCGCCACCTTGGCTCATCACAACCTCCGCCTCCCAGGTTCAAGCAGTTCTCCTGCCTCAGCCTCCCAAGTAGCTGGGATTACAGGCACGTGCCACCATGCCCGGCTAATTTTTGTGTTTTTAGTAGAGATGGGGTTTCACCATGTTGGCCAGGCTGGTCTCGAACTCTTGACCTCAGATGATCTGCCCATCTTGGCCTCCCAAAGTGCTGGGATTACAGATGTGAGCCACTGCGCCTGGCCAGAAGGCTCCATGTTTTAGGGAGCCCTGAACCGGATGCGGTGGCTCATGCCTATAATCCCAGCATTTTGGGTGGCCGAGGTCGGTAGACCACCTGACGTCGGGAGTTTGAGACAAGCCTGACCAACGTGGAGTAACCCTGTCTCTACTAAAAATACAAAATTAGCCAGGCATGGTGGCACATGCCTGTAATCCAAGCTACTCTGGAGGCTGAGGCAGGAGAATCCCCTGAACCTGGGAGGTAGAGTTTTCGGTGAGCGGAGATCATGCCATGGCACTCCAGCCTGGGCAACAAGAGCGAAACTCCATCTCAAAAAAATAAAAAAATAGGTTAGGCACGGTGGCTCATGCCTGTAATCCCAGCACTTTGGGAGGCTGAGGTGGGCAGATCACGAGGTGAGGAGTTCAAGGCCAGTTTTGCCAACATGGTGAAACCCTGGCTCTACTAAAAATACAACAATTGCCTGGGCATGGTCACGCGCGCCTGTAATCCCAGCTACTCGGAGCTGAGGCAGGAGAATTGTTTAACCCAGACCTGGGAGGCGGAGGTTGCAGTGAGCTGAGGTCACACCATTGCACTCCAACCTAGACTACAGAGCAAGGCTCCGTCTCTGAATGAATGAATGAAGGAATGAAGGAAGGAAGGAGCTCTCTGGGTAACTCTGATGTTCCCTGAAGCTTGCTGAACCCTGTCCTGGTGTTTCCAGGGGGAAGAGATGGGGATGGGGCAGCATATGTGGGACGGAGTGTCTGGCTGGTGGGGCTTACGGGAAGGCATGTCCCGGGATAGACAGAGTCATCTGTAGAGTGGGGTGAACATTCGCTGGCCCCTCTCCTCTCATCACTCCTCTTCTGTGTCCCCCCACCTCCTGACCACAGTGGATGCGCATGCTGTGTGGCTGCTCCAAGGCTGGCTCTTCCAGCACCAGCCGCAGTTCTGGGGGCCTGCCCAGGTCAGGGCTGTGCTGGGGGCTGTGCCCCGTGGCCGCCTGCTGGTTCTGGACCTGTTTGCTGAGAGCCAGCCTGTATACACCCGCACCGCCTCCTTCCAGGGCCAGCCCTTCATCTGGTGCATGCTGCACAACTTCGGGGGCAACCATGGTCTGTTTGGAGCCCTAGAGGCCGTGAACCGAGGCCCACAAGCTGCCCGCCTCTTCCCCAACTCCACCATGGTAGGCACTGGCATGGCCCCTGAGGGCATCAGCCAGAACGAAGTGGTCTATTCCCTCATGGCTGAGCTGAGCTGGCGAAAGGACCCAGTGCCAGATTTGGCGGCCTGGGTGACCAGCTTTGCTGCCCAGCGGTATGGGGTCTCCCACCCGGACGCAGGGGCAGCGTGGAGGCTCCTGCTCAGGAGTGTGTACAATTGCTCCGGGGAGGCCTGCAGGGGCCACAATCACAGCCCGCTGGTCAGGCGGCCGTCCCTACAGATGAATACCACCGTCTGGTACAACCGATCTGATGTGTTTGAGGCTTGGCGGCTGCTGCTCTCAGCTGCCGCCACCCTGGCTGCCAGCCCCACCTTCCGCTATGACCTGCTGGACGTCACTCGGCAGGCGGTGCAGGAGCTGGTCAGCTTGTACTACGAGGAGGCGAGGAGTGCCTACCTGAGCAAGGAGCTGCGTTCCCTGTTGAGGGCTGGAGGCATCCTGGCCTATGAGCTGCTGCCGGCGCTGGACGAGGTACTGGCTAGTGACAGCCACTTCTTGCTGGGCAGCTGGCTGGAACAGGCCAGAGCAGTGGCGGTCAGTGAGGCCGAGGCTGATTTCTATGAGCAGAACAGCCGCTACCAGCTGACTCTATGGGGGCCAGAAGGCAACATCCTGGACTACGCCAACAAGCAGCTGGCAGGGCTGGTGGCCTGCTACTATACCCCTCGCTGGCGGCTCTTCCTGGAGGCGCTGGCTACCAGCGTGGCCCAGGGCATCCCTTTCCAGCAGCACCAGTTTGACAAAAATGTCTTCCAACTGGAGCAGGCCTTTGTCCTCAGCAAGCAGAGGTATCCCAGCCAGCCCCGAGGAGACACTGTGGACCTGGCCAAGAAGATCTTCCTCAAATATTACCCCCGCTGGGTGGCCAGCGCTTGGGAATAGATTCACCACCCCTGGGCCTTGCTTTACACTAACTCCAGGCCGGGGCAGGTTTCCAGGGCCCGGAGTTGGACAAGCATCACAGGGTATCCCAGGCCTGGGAGGAGGTCCCACGGCCTGCTGGTGGGGTCTGGCCTTGGGGGAATTGGAGGAAAGTGAGCTGTCCTTCACCACCACCCAAAGTGTGGGATTAAAGTACTGTTTTCTATCCACTTAAACTGATGAGTCACTGGGTCTGTCAGAATGAGGTCACTGCTGCCACGCTTGGGAAGACTCAGGGCTATAGCATGGCCCCTGGGGTGGACCTGTTCTCCCTTCCCTTGCCTCATGCCACCCCCCTTTTTTTTTTTAAATAGAGTCTTGCTCTGTTGCCCAGGCTGGAGTACAATGGCACCATCTTGGCACGGCAACGTCCGCCTCCTGGGTTCAAGTAATTCCTGTGCCTCAGCCTCCTGGGTAGCTGGGACTATAGGTATGCATCGCTACGCCTGGCTAATGTTTTTTTTTCTTCCCTGAGACAGAGTCTTGCTCTGTCACCCAGGCTAGAGTTCAGTGGAACAATCTCAGCTTACTGCAACCTCTGCCCCCTGGGTTCAAGCAATTCTCCTGCCTCAACCTTCCACATAGCTGGGATTACAGGTGTCTGCCACCATGCCCAGCTAATTTTTGTATTTTTAATAGAGATGGGGTTTCACCATGTTGGCCAGGATGGTCTTGAACTCCTGACCTCAAGTGATCCACCTGCCTTGGCCTCCCAAAGTGCTGGGATTACAGGCGTGAGCCACCATGCCCAGCAGGAAAACCTTTTTTCAAACTGTTTTTTCTTTGCTGCCATGCCACAACAACACTCACCAACACAGAAGACTTATGTGATGACATATTTGGAGGATTGTTCCCATGCACCAAGCAGTGGACATCAGCTGGGTGTCCTCCAATTCAGTTCCAATGTAATTCACCAAAGACAACGTCAGAGTCCACAGAGTTAGGGCGCAGACCCATGAGACCACCCCCTCCTTCTCCATCAGTCACAAGTCCTGGTCCCTGGAACTTCTGATGGACTGGCTTCAAGTTGGAGTTTCCATGGCCCCCTTCCCCTCTTTGGATTTAACTAATTTGCTACAGTGGCCCACAAAACACAGGTTTATGTGTACTGGTTTATTACAGAGGAATTTTTTTTTCTTTATTTAAAAAAAAAATTTTTTTTTTTTTTTGAGACAGGGTTATGCTCTGTCAACCAGAGTGAGTACAGTGGTGCGCTCTCCACTACTACAGCCTCGATTCCCCCCCAACCCCTGGCCTCAGCACCCCACCCCCCAAGTAGCTGGGACTCCAGGCACACACCACCATGCCCAGCTAATTTTTTTGTATTTTTTGCAGAGATGGGGGTTCCCTCTGTTGCCCTGGCTGGCCTTGAACTCCTGTGCTCCAGCAATCCCCTTGCCTCAGCCTTTTGTGGCTCAGGGATTACAGGCATGAGCCACCCAGCCTTGAAGGATATTTTATTTTATTTATTTTTATTTTTTTAAAAAACAG